ACACAATTAACCGTATGTCTAGATAAACAGTCTAGATAAGGGGTGGGCAAACTACGGCCCGCGGGGCGCCTGGGGCCCTCCACGGGGGTCTGTGCGGCCCGCGGAAGCCTACAGCAAATAAAAAAATAAAAAATAAAAATTTGTGAAGGTCCACATGTTTGTGCTTGAACCGAGGCTGACTTTTTCAGTGTCATACAGATTAGTGTTCTATTGTCTCTGGTTCGCTCTGCAACGCCATTTCAGCTAATTATGGTCCAGAGATGGCGCCCTTCAGGCGAAACGCACGTATTATCTTAGAGCGCACCGACCGATATTAAAAGGTGCGGCCCTTTGACTTTTCATGGCCCACAGATGCGGCCCTCGCTTTGAAAAGTTTGCCCACCACTGATCTAACCTATCGAAAATAGTCTTGCACACTCTGTATCAAGTCAGTGCAAGGTGAATGTTGTTACTACAATGACATGGCGCATGTAACATAATGCATGTGTATAGTAACGCAAAATATCGTGCATTGTACAGTAATGCGAGTCAGTGCAAAGAGAAATCCGTTTATTTAATGCTGCTGCTATTGTTTGTTCCTGCATCTAAATAATGAGATATTTGAAGTGGATTGTATCTGGCATACATCCTATTGCACACATTCGCATACACATATAGATACTGTCCTAATCAAATAAAGCTGAAACACGACTTTCTCCATACAATGGCCAAGTAGGCCTTTGTCCCCATTGTGATAAATGACATATGGCCTGACTGTCTCATACCTATGCCCTAATTCCTTTGGGATCAATAATAAGCAACAGAAAACAATGACAAGATTAAACTAAATGGCAAGCCACAAAAAAAATGAATTGAAGATAGCAGAATCTGTCATTAGATAACATACCATGATAACAAGAATGTGAGCAAATTCATTCATTATAAGTTGCAGATTACTGAAAAGGTTTTATAACTGTCTACATATATGTTGAGATATGGGAAAATCAATGAAAACTGAGCTAAAAAGGGGGTTCGGTATTATTATCATGTGGATGATCATGTTAATTATGTTAACATTATAATGCAGTTGACATTTTCTATTAGGAATGCATTTTGGCAGGTTACACACCGAGAAAGACAGGCTAAGAATTTACGTGTTGAGATAAATAGTGCGCCTGTAATGACTGACACACATGCGCCGGGCATGCACGATCACACACGCATGCAAACATGCATGCATGCATGTGCCCACACCCATCCACATAAGTACACACACCCATCAACATAAGTACACACACGTGCAAGCAGACACTCAGATAACACACACATGCACGCACGCACGCACGCACACGCACACGCACCCACATACTCAGAGACATGCACACACAGACATACACACCACACATGCACACGCACCCACACAGACACACACGGACAGATGCACGCACGCACGCATGCATGCACGCACACACACACACACACACACACACACACACACATGGATGCACACGCGGGCACGCACGCACACACATGCGCACGACCTTTGCACGCGTGCACGCAGCATGCGCCACACACCACAGCGACCCATGCTAGAGGAGAACGGAGAGCTCACGGCTAGCGGTCCCAGTGCGCTCGTTAGCGACTGCGGTCGCCTCGCCCCTTCCCGCTCCGCCTCATTCCCCGCCTCATAGCTGCTCGCCGCGCGCACGTTGTGATGGTGGTGGCGCCGGCGCGGGGTCGGACGCTGCGTGCGCGGGTCGCTCTGCAAATGGGCAAGCTCACATTACTCAGCATACTCACTGTCAGTGGTCCGACTCGCATCGTTAGCGAGCGGTGCCGCAGCTCAGGTTCGTCGCCGGACTCGTTGTCGGCCGGGCTAGAGAGGCCGCTGTCCGGCGTCGCTTGCCCACGGCCGCGGCCGCGCCGCCGCCGCTCTCGTGGACTGGGAGCGTTCGTTCGCGGGTCGTTCTGCAAGCCGAGCAATGGTCACTGTCATGCACAGCTACGTCACAACCCCCCCCCCCGCAGACGGCGACAACAGATGGACGACGTGCATGCGTTCACGCATCGATTCTGCGGGGATAATTTCTTACTCGTTGGACACGTTCGACCTTTTCCGTACGGCTTGCTGAATTGAATACGACTGAAGAAGGATGGTTACCCTTAAACTGGTTGCAGCGACGTTTGAATGAAGATTGATCAGGAAATTTCTCAAATTCACAATTACTGTAATCAGTCACGATCGTCAACAATTCTTTTATGTTTTAAGCTAAGATACAGAAAAGAAAGAATGTCTCGGTCGATATTAACATACACAATACACACAAAAGGCATTATTTGCAAAATCTGATACTATGTCAGATGAAAGTGTCAATGACACTGTAGCTCACCACAAAAAAGGACACAAATGAGTGAGTAAGAAGAATGCAGGTTTTAATTGAGCAACCATCGACGTACATTATAGAAACGATTGCCATCTGTATATCGCAATAATAATTTATAAACCAAAATGAATCACAATTTGTTACGGTAGATGGCGCTATACCCGCTTTGTAGCGATGGCGTTCGAAATAAATAGGTTATGCTGCGTTTCGACATGTTTTGTAAAACTTTACTCTAATATAGACATTTTATCGGCAGGGTGGAGAGGAAATACCAATTTTGAATTAAAGATATTGTCAATGAAATCTTGTAAAACGAACCAGATGAGTTTCACACCACAGACTGTTTGTTACCTGCATTATATGCTATATAATTGCCAAACCCTACCTAATTTGCATTTTTTTTTTTTTTAATATCAAAACCCTTAGCCCTTATTCATTCACATACCAAAATGAACAAAAATCCGTTGAACCTGAACTGAACTAATGGCAATTCCATTTTGCCAAAAAATCGCCGTGGCTCGAAAGTACGCCGACTTGGTTAGTGGCTCCAAAAATAGGACATTTAATATGGGAGCATAGCAGTAACAACTACACCCAATTTCAAATATGTGGGTCAAACGGTTCCTGAGTTATCATTGACCGAAGCCAAATGTTGACGGACGGACGAACGGACGGACGGACAACGACCCATCGCAATAGCTCAGCTTGACGATGTCAAGGTGAGCTAATAAAAACGAAGTAAAATGTATCTACCCATGTGGTGGTTCTTGTGTTATGATCAATGAAGAATACTCTGCCATTCTGGGCAACCTGCATCGCCCACCCTTGTGGCATTGATACATCATCAGGGCTGGCTATACCTGCCACCCGTGCCTACGAAAAGTACATTTTTATTTATTTAATTTATTTATTAATTTAAAGACGACACATTGGTAACAGATATGTCAACATGAGCTTGCAAGCTCCTCACCGTCGAACATGACATTAAATGCAAGAAAGTACATTCAAAACAGTGATAAATCGGTAAGTTACAACACACGCATGCACGCACGCACGCACGCACGCACGCACGCACGCACGCACGCACGCACGCACAGATATCGCATAATGAGCTAATAATTAACGCACCTGTTCTATCACGTTTTGATCTATTGGCAGATTCGCGAGTTGCTCTGTTATCGAATCAACTGTGTCAACCGCCTCTGGTGTCGTCGGCAAAGAAGACTCTGAATGTCCGCTCCATAGAGACGACGGTGTCTCGCCATCCACAGGTTCTGTTGGGCTTGGCTAAAACCGGTTCACGTAACATACATGCATTAGGACCTCACAAACACAAAGCAATGCATAAAGACATTAAAAAAACCTCCAAATCCTCTTCGTATATGCTTAGAACTTTAAGCCAAGACGCAAAAATTAAAAAAAAATGTAACTGTACGTGCAGATGACTCACACAATTACACCTGGTGTTGCAAAAACTTACGATTTTGGAAGGAGCACTTGACCACTGGTCGAGTAACTATGGTCAATGTTTCATAGCAGCCAGTGCTAGAGGCTGCATTCACCTGTGCATCGCCTGCATGTGTTGTAATGTTTCGTAGCAGACGATGCTAGAGGCTGCACTCACCTGTGCATCGCCTGCATGTGGTGTAATGTTTCGTAGCAGACGATGCTAGAGGCTGCACTCACCTGTGCATCGCCTGCATGTGTTGTAATGTTTCGTAGAAGTCGATGCTAGAGGCTTCACTCACCAGTGCATCGCCTGCATGTGGCGTGATGTTCAGCTCAGCCAGGACCTGCTCTGAATTTGCTGCATGCTCCATCGAGTCATCCTGACTGATATGCCGTCGCTGCTGAAACACCAGAGCAGCTCTCCGCTCTTCTCGCTGCGCCGAGGCAGGCGCATGTGACCTACAGCGACACGGTAATTAGATGCATGCGCACGAAACATGGCAGCCTCGGGTAGTTTTCAAGTTACTCATGTTTTAAAGCAATGCTGCTTGTCTGTATCTATAAGGTGCATACCTGTGACTTAAACCAAAGCACTACCGGTTACGGAGTTTGTCGGTGCAATTGCAATTTGACTAAAATTCATCATTCAACATGCGGTTAATCAATATGCAGTTAAAGAATCCTTATGCAGTTAAATAAATCCTCTTGCAATTACATTTATCTACCAGTATAGTAAATTTGACACTGTCGTTCATCTATAGAATTTTGCGACGGTGGCAATGGACAGCAGTGGCCCTGCACAAGACACAACAAAAGCTGCATGGTCACCTCCACCGAACCTGCAGCACACGTTCCGAGTCTAAGGAAACACTTACGGTACTAATGTCGGCCGCTCCCACTGCGTTCTCCTGTTTATGTTGTCGACATAAAACAGCCGGCCATTCCCATCGACCCTCTCCTGCCATCCGAGAGGCAGTGGTGGCGTCTCCGTCCGATGAAGGGGCGTTACTTGATCCTGCCTCTCTTGGCTGCTTCCTTCCTCTGTGTCACTTCCCTCCGCATCATCAACATCCTGGTGCTATGCAGCCACCGCAAGAGCAGAGAAACTCATTTATCTTATTGAAAACCTAGGATTCATCCCAACCATAAAGGCTAACCAACTGTCACAGATCAATGTGGCAGCTCGCCTCACTTGTGATATTAAAATGCACTCATCCAGTCAAAACACATGCTAGATTGCTTTTAGCTAAGAGATTAAAACATAACACACTCTCACGATTCATTATAACAATATGTGATGAAACAATTGCACAGAATTGAACTTGCCATACCTAACCAAATTTGTTACCTATACGGCGACGGCATCCACGAAAAAGTAACGAAACCAACGTCACCTACCTCATGGTCGAGGGACAAATTCGCAGCTTCTTCAGCTTCGCTTCCTGCTGTGGATGCTTCCTCTACAGTAGCTTCCTGTTCAGAGCTTACTATGCCAATAGATAATCGCATGTGCCCTTTGACCTTTGAGCGCGAGCTCCTAGGGCGCAACAAGTAATTCCTAAACGGGGTTGGATGCTCTTGTTCCATGGGGACAAAACTTAGCAGCATTTCTGTCTGACCTAGGAAGTCATCCCGCGTCTGAAAGGTGGGTGAATTTGGGCAATCAATAATACTATCAATATTCAAAAAGTTCAAATTAGAGGTGTCATGATACACTAGGGTCACGATATGATACGTATCTTGATATATGCAGATCGCCACATACGTACCATAATACACAGACAGAAAGAGATATTGTAAATTGCATGTTATGATAAATTTGTCATACCATGTATAAAGTAATGTTAACTTTTAAAGTGAAAATTGCAATTGCATGTTTTATTCAGGAAAATTAAAATGTCAACATTCCCGCCAGTAGGGGCGGCTGGTACAATATCCCCAGAAGTTGAAAATACACGTTCACGGAGGACAGATATAGCTGGAATAGAAAGGTAGGTTTCCCCGAAAGATATGACAACAGTGTACAGAAGCTTATTTTGTTGCTGCCACCACCAATCGATTGAATACCCATCTGATTGGTAAATATCGTAATTTTAAGATCAGATGGATGGTCAAATTCGAATGTTTTTCTAACGTTATGATATGTATTTCAATACCTTCATAACACGAACGTATTATGGTTATTTCGACGCCATATAAATATATAGCACACCATTAGTTACCATATGTTTCTATGGCTGCAACACACTGAAAAGTTCTGAGTGTTCTAGACTGAACTGCGATAGATGGCTCCACTCACAAGCTCGCCATGCACAGTGCTACAGTGCTACAGTATGTGTGCAGCAAGGACACACACCAGTAATTCAGCACTCTTTTGATTGTTTTGTGCTAACAATTTTGGCAGCAATACAAGCACGCCATATATATTGACCCAGATCTCTACGGCAGCCAAGGATATCTACGTGACACCGAGAGTGCAGGTTCATAACATAATATATTTTCCGATATAAACATAGTATAATATGTCCATATAAATCCAGCATAATAATGATAGTTTTCAAGTAAATGAAATTACATGTACTTTATTAAATAGTTTAGCTTACCTTATTTACTGTTTAACACGCATATTGTTTGTATAGCGATACAGTTGCTGTTTATCAATTATCATATCGTGAGCCACTGTATTGCATTTCACCGATACGTCGTTGAATCGTTACACCCCCTAATTCAAATTGACACATCATTGACATGAATCACACGTCATCTCTCTTCCCCTCGTTTACCTTTACCGTAGACCATCATACTTTTTAATTGATACTGTACTTTTCGGACTGCCCCTCCCTCACATAACAGAACAAATAGCACATATGAGATGGATCTAATAGGCACCAGGCATAATTAATCACCCTACTTCACCAGGCTTACCAATCTATTTTCATCAAAAACCTCGAGCAATAAACGATTCCGATCTGGAATGACCTGGAATAAATAAATAAAAATCACACAATTACAAAGAAGATATTGCCATATATTTGTCATTAATTTTAGGGTACCACATTAGTTGGGCACTAATACAAACACATCCATCAAAGACAGGTTACAAAAAAAACTTAATGTCTAGCAACACCTCTTATGTAGCCAGAGAGGGATAGCGACACAACATTAAAATTATGGGAAGGGCACAATTAAAGGCAAACTAGGTAGGCCGGCCATGGTGGTTTATTGCAGTGGCTATCATCCTGGTTTCGGGGGTACGACAACAAGAAGGGAGGGTAACCAAGGAACTTGCTGCACGGGTGTCATGGTAAAATTCAAGTCCTGGAACCGCTTCAACGTTAAACCTGTACGCATTCATGAAACGTTACATGTAAAAACTTTCCCTGCACATTCTGACTTGAAATGTATACACGGAGTCCAGATATAATATATCCGATTGCCATAAAAATTATATATTGGATGTTTTATATTTTTCCACTATTTCAGAGTGTCATTAAGTCGGATGTAAAATAGTAACATTTGTAATTGTTTTGAATAAACTTTTTGTTGATTTGCTGATTTTTTGAAAATGTTTCATTTTCTACTTTTTAATTTAGCAACCTGATTTCTGAAATTTTAGCACGTTGCACATTTTACTTTACATTCACCCCACCTGTAGCTTTATATACATTAAAAAGAGGTTGCCCAACTCTCGAATTAAAGCAATGTCTGTGCTGCCCTAGAAGGAATGCCATTTCATATGCAGTGTGTGTGTGCGTGCGTGCGTGCGTGCGTGCATGTGTATGTGTGCGTGTGTGCAATCAGTGTTCCTGCCTCGAATGTACTCCAGTATATAGCCTGTGGTTTTACTTCTCTACTGAATGCAAGCACACTAAGCAGACATTGTGTGATGATGCAAATAACAAGACAATCAGTAATAAATAGTGCCCAGTTCTTTTCCTGTATTTTTAGCCCACATATTCACAACCTCGCATATGCCAATCTAAACGTTGTTCCTGGTAAACTAAATTCAAGTATTTTTTGCGTCGTGCATATATTACATGTAGCTGTGTTAAAATCGATACCAGTCAAATTAAAATGTGTTTAAAAGTTTTTATACTTGCACTTATATTACTTCTGTTGGGTGAGAATCTTTTTGTAGGAATGTGTCTTTAATTATTTAATGGAAGTCAAGGGAAAACAGGGTTGATGTTATAGAATTTACCGTTACATTTGACGGTCTCACAGAAATAACCAACAAAAAGCAAACATTTATAAAATGGAATGTACTCAATGGAGAATTATAATAGGGGTTGCCCTAACAAATCAACAGCTTTATAATAAATATGGAATAGACCTACACCGACCTTATAGGTGAAATTGGAATGGAACATAACTGGTATATTATGTATCGATAAATGCCATAAACATATTAATAATTTATTTTATTATATGACTGTCATTTTTCCCACACGCTGATTGGTCAAAACCCCTCTTATAGGTCTAAATATATTGCGATGTTCCACCGAAACCTACAGAATCCGTGCACGCGAGGTGAATATAACAGTCCAAAACCCCGTCGGGCGCCTCGCAGGTGAATATTATAATACAGGAACCTGTGCTGCAATTTTTGACCAATCAGAAGCGCGGATTGTCGTTGCCTCACTGGAGTGAAAATGGCAGACGACAGTGTAAACAAACCCGGCTTGACAAGATTTGGAACTGTTTCCGATGACCAGCTTAAAACTAAGTATGGATTGGTGCTACACATGGTTAAGTTTATAAAAATGTCATATAATAAAACCTATAACAGATTATTGAGCGCTATTTTTTCAGGTGATACAGAGGATTTATTATACGCTCGAGAGGTGATATTCGCTCGGCATCCGGCCGGGAAATATCACGCTCGGGTTACATAAATCCGTATTCACTCCTAACCAATAGCATATTTGTATTAATGACTCTACTCCGATAATAGGAATTCTGTTCCATACTGGGGTTCAGTGTCTGAAATACCAAAGAAAGTTAAATGCATGATTTTTATTTTTAAAATCTAGTTTTGAACAATGACGTTATTTAGAAGCAAAAGGTGGACTTAACATAGAAACATCATTTACAAAATATAATGTTCAGTGGTCAACAGGGAATCAATTTCCAGCCAAAGATTTGCATCGCAAATTTGCTATATCAAAATAAATTTTGCATAAGGCAAATATTGATAAATTTGATATATGCATTTTTTTCAGACAATCACAGTGCAAAATTTAGCATCCGCAGGGGCAATGCTGGGCGTGTTATCGGTGTCTGCCTGTGACAGGCATCAGCTAGCTTATAGCCTAGGACACACTCGCGTTTGGCACCGGCTGCCCCAGCGTTTAAACAGCGTGCGATGCTTGGCCTCGTCCGCGATCGCCAATGTCGAGTGAAATAATATCGGCCGGGCGAGTGAAAGCTAAAGCTGACTCGCCATGTGTGGCGAGTAAAATTAATTGATCTAGAACTTTAATGCAAATGTTGGTGTCCTGTACGTTATATTTTTTTTCCAAACATTGAGTGAAAATACAGTTCTAGCGATTGTGAAGGGGGCTTATCTGACGTCCCTCGCACTCAGACATCCTCACTTTATATTATCAAGGTGCGCCGAAGAACAGCAGCCGCGCGGAGACGTGCAGCGCGCGCAGCACGCGTGGCTGTGTATAGCGTGCTGGGGCGGCATATTGATTGATGTACGCGGGGGGGGGGGGCAGGATTTGTTTCAAGTTCACGTTGGCCCGTGGTGTTAACAAATCATCAAATCGGCGTGAACGTGGCATTTCTTGCACGCGGAAAGCAGCCTCGAAATAAAGTAAATTGTAAACAATGTATGTTTCCGTTTACAATTTCCGCCATGGGCTGCATCGCCACAACTGCCGATTCATAAAAAATATGTGCGTAGCAAATGCTGAAATAATCGCGAATTGCGATGGCGATCCTGGGAAAATTATCCTGGGTAAAAATGCAGACTCGTACACAAACGTATTTAGGGCAACTTAAATTATAGTTCATTCTTACAGACTTGATGCTTATTGCTAGGCTAAGCTGTGTATCTTTAAGGGTGAAAACACTTTCAAGCACTTTAGAGGCATGCACAAGCATCTCGCTTCTATGCTACTGTTACCACAACTGCGGGGGCGGATCCAGAGGGTTTGGGTGACCAGTTTCATAGTTCTAGTCACAGCTAGGGGGTCCAGGGGGTGCATGGCCCCCGGAATTAAAAAAAATTAGGCTATATTTGGTGCATTCTGGTGAATTTGGAAGGTCAATTCTGAGATACCAGCTGTGACCGGTTTCTGGAACCGGTGCAAACCGGCCTAAAATCTAGCGCCTGGAACTGAGCTGTCATCTGAACAATTCATGCAGAAATCGAAAAATGCGCAGTATAAAAAAACCACAATGATAATTCCATGCAAATGCATCTAGTTACCAGTGCCAAACCCAAGGTACATCTATTTTGATATATTAGAAGCCTCCGGACTTGAAAATGTCTGTGAGTAACTTATCATGGCATGAAACACATTATTTTAGACACGGTAAGCTCTCAATTATCACGATAGTTAGCGTCTCGAGTATTGGCTGCATAACTAAACATGCGGCAACATATAACATATGAAAATAGTGGGATAAGAGGTTATACTTATAGGTTCTCAAGAAACAAAAATTAACCAATATCCATACTACTGAACTCTGCAGTATGCACACCAGTATATATAAAAACAACGCAAAATATCAAAAAAAATATTGTTTGGGTATATCATACGTACAAAATCTAGACTGGTAGCCGATATGTACAATGTTGGTATTGATATACAGCGCCACCTATGGACGAGTGTTGTACGAAACCTTAATAAATCAGTTGTTTGTTACACGCCCGCATCTTTAGGTGTGTCTCCGACACCGTTTATATGGTGCAGAAATTGTGTTTCAACACTGAATTGCCCGGACCCGTTTAGACGCCCTACAGGAATTTGAAACTCCAGGAAATTGAGTGAGAATCTGGGAAAAGTTCAAACAAGGAATATGAAATATTTTCCTGTCGGCGTGTGGTATAGGTATGCAAACTGAACAACGAAAAGTCATTGTATTGCTCAATGTGATCGGACGCAGACGGACTGAGGCTGTATAATACTTTCACGTGGGAGAATGAAGGCGATGAACATGAAACAGAAAGAAGTGTGTGATAATTCGAAACGCATTGCAACCCAACAAGAAAAACGAACGTACAAAGGCATTTGTTCTAAGTGTCCATACAGAATGATGGAATCGGTGATCAGTTGTCACTGACTTACGTAGACTTGCCAAATCATGCGGGATTCGATGCTTTGGATGGCAATCCCATTAGAGATCAGATCGTGTCAGGTGTGTGCGAGACTTTCATCATCAAAGAACGGCTACTTCGAGAACTGAGTTATCGCTGCTAGAGCGGCTTGCAGATTTGCGGAGCTGCTGAAGTAAGGTCAAAAATGCATGTGCAATGATTTAAACTTGCGACACCATCCACATTCGCCAGTAATCTAATGTCGTTCATGCTATTGGCCGTGCCGGTGGGCACGATGGTTCATGGCGAGAGGACACGTCGATGGACAACAAGGGGGAGGGGCCAGTCTACAGCCTGAATGAGTGGCAAGAAGAAAGCCCAGCAGACCCAATGTTCAAATGTGGATACTACATACCACAAGTCAGGACAGTGGTCCCAAGGCGTTGGAGTAGAAATTGTAGTAAGTGTAAGAGACGGGATGTTGGGACACTTTGCAAGTGTTGTAGATCGGCTAGCGTCAAAAAGCGATGTCACTTGGTTGAAGAATCAGACGTAATGATGACAGTAGAAGACTATGGGTTGTTCATTTACATGAATACACACTGATTCGGTGACAGCAAACGCAGAGAAACCAGTGGCAAGTAATGTGGAATTGAAAAGCAAGCCAGTTTCATTTCAAGTTAGGATACAGGGGCAAGATATA